GTTTGATTCTCAGCAGTAACAGGTTGCCTGTTCTGCCAGTGTAAGTACTGTAAGCAATGGCAGTGTCAACTGTTGTTTATCTACATACTGTCAGACTGTCCAGGTGTAAATGGTTGTGATTGGCTCCAACCCCCCCGTTGGACCCCAGTCCTAAAAAGAAATAACGGACGACAATGAAAACTTATTTGGTCTTCGACGTTTTTCATGCTGCACCTGGTTTTCTACTTGAATAGATAAGACTTTCATTGATGTTTGACACATATATACAAATATACTGTATTTATCCTCCTAAGGTACTCGGTAAGTGAAAAACCAAACTACACGGGACTGGTCAGTACTGTGTCTAAAGTGGCTAAAACGTATGTTGACCTCTTACTGCAGCGCAGTGTCTCTTTAGAATTCAGATCACCGGTCCACTGTCGCCACCGCTCGCCCTCTGGGCAGCACTGCCGTCTCGGCAGCTGCTCCTACACGTCGGTGCTCACACTGTGGGTCACCACCTCTCGCGTGGTCAGCGAGTGGATGAGGTTGAGCTTCTGATAAAAGTTGGTCAGATCCCTGGGCAGTTCCAGGTCCTGCTGCTGCACAGTCCTGTAGCCGATCCCGCCCCCTCCGTTGCACATCCGCTTCGGGTGCTGCAGATAGAACGGTAGCATGCAGCGGGTGCAGGTCGAGCAGAAGGCGTGCGAGCGCTGGCACCTACGTGGGGGAGGCGTAGGCGAGTACCCCGTGGGCCCGTTTGTTTCGGTGAGGAACATGGGAGGGTAAGACTCAGGCTCGTCGCTGTAGTGCTCCGGCGTGGAGGGTGTAGGGGGAGCTGTCAGAGCCAGGGGGTGGGACGGCGACATGGTGTCAAACTCCGGTTCCTTCTCGTCCCCCTTCTCGGACTCCTCCCTCTTACAGCAGTAATACTGATGTCATCAAAATACAAGGGTGAGAAAAACACAACTCTCTTAGCGACAACTTGAAAAGAAACTTCAGTGGTACAAGAGTAGCAGATAC